TATCCTGTGACAGTTACCAGATTGAGGTTCATGACAGTGTCTTGTAAGAGTTACCAGATTGAGGTTAATGACAGTGTCTTGTGAGAGCTACCCGATTTAGGTACATGACAGTGTCTTGTGAGAGTTACCAGATTGAGGTTCATGACAGTGTCTTGTGAGAGTTACCAGATTGAGGTACATGACAGTGTCCTGTGAGAGTTACCAGATTGAAGTCCATGACAGTGTATTGTGAGAGTTACTAGATTTAAGTCCATGACAGTATCCTGTGAGAGTTACCAGATTGAAGTCCATGACGGAATCCTGTGAGAGTTACCAGATTGAGGTTCATGGCAGTGTCCTGTGAGAGTTACCAGATTGAGGTACATGACAGTGTCTTGTAAGAGTTACCAGATTGAGGTACATGACAGTGTCTTGTAAGAGTTACCAGATTGAGGTTAATGACAGTGTCTTGTGAGAGTTACCCGATTTAGGTACATGACAGTGTCTTGTGAGAGTTACCATATTGAGGTTCATGACAGTGTCTTGTGAGAGTTACCAGATTGAGGTACATGACAGTGTCCTGTGAGAGTTACCAGATTGAAGTCCATGACAGTGTCCTGTGAGAGTTACTAGATTTAAGTCCATGACAGTATCCTGTGAGAGTTACCAGATTGAGGTTCATGACAGTGTCCTGTGAGAGTTGCCAGATTGAGGTACATGACAGTGTCTTGTGAGAGTTACCAGATTGAGGTTCATGGCAGTGTCTTGTGAGAGTTACCAGATTGAGGTTCATGACAGTGTATTGTGAGAGTTACTAGATTGAAGTCCATGACAGTGTCCTGTGAGAGTTACCAGATTGAAGTTCATGACAGTGTGTTGTGAGAGTTACCAGATTGAGGTTCATGACTGTGTCTTGTGAGAGTTACCAGATTGAGGTTCATTACAATGTATTGTGAGAGTTGCCAGATTAAGGTACATGACAGTATCCTGTGAGAGTTACCAGATTGAGGTCCATGACAGTGTCTTGTGAGAGTTACCAGATTGAGGTTCATGACAGTGTCTTGTAAGAGTTACCAGATTGAGGTTAATGACAGTGTCTTGTGAGAGCTACCCGATTTAGGTACATGACAGTGTCTTGTGAGAGTTTCCAGATTGAGGTTCATGACTGTGTCTTGTGAGAGTTACCAGATTGAGGTAAATGACAGTGTCCTGTGAGAGTTACCAGATTGAAGTCGATGACAGTGTCCTGTGAGAGTTACTAGATTTAAGTCCATGACAGTATCCTGTGAGAGTTACCAGATTGAGGTTCATGACAGTGTCTTGTGAGAGTTACCAAATTGAGGTACATGACAGTGTCTTGTGAGAGTTACCAGATTGAGGTTCATGGCAGTGTCCTGTGAGAGTTACCAGATTGAGGTACATGACAGTGTCTTGTAAGAGTTACCAGATTGAGGTACATGACAGTGTCTTGTAAGAGTTACCAGATTGAGGTTAATGACAGTGTCTTGTGAGAGTTACCCGATTTAGGTACATGACAGTGTCTTGTGAGTGTTACCAGATTGAGGTTCATGACAGTGTCTTGTGAGAGTTACCAGATTGAGGTACATGACAGTGTCATGTGAGAGTTACCAGATTGAAGTCCATGACAGTGTCCTGTGAGAGTTACTAGATTAAGGTTCATTTCAATGTCTTGTGAGAGTTGCCAGATTGAGGTACATGACAGTATCTTGTGAGAGTTACCAGATTGAGGTTCATGACAGTGTCTTGTGAGAGTTACCAGATTGAGGTTCATGACAGTGTCTTGTAAGAGTTACCAGATTGAGGTTAATGACAGTGTCTTGTGAGAGTTACCCGATTTAGGTACATGACAGTGTCTTGTGAGAGTTACCAGATTGAGGTTCATGACAGTGTCTTGTGAGAGTTACCAGATTGAGGTACATGACAGTGTCCTGTGAGAGTTACCAGATTGAAGTCCATGACAGTGTCCTGTGAGAGTTACTAGATTTAATTCCATGACAGTATCCTGTGAGAGTTACCAGATTGAGGTTCATGACAGTGTCTTGTGAGAGTTACCAGATTGAGGTACATGACAGTGTCTTGTGAGAGTTACTAGATTGAAGTCCATGACAGTGTCTTGTGAGAGTTACCAGAATGAGGTACATGATAGTATCCTGTGAGAGTTACCAGATTGAGGTTCATTACAATGTCTTGTGAGAGTTACCAGATTGAGGTACATGACAGTCTTCTGTGAGAGTTACCAGATTGAGGTTCATGACAGTGTATTGTGAGAGTTACCAGATTGAGGTGCATGCCAGTGTCTTGTGAGAGTTACCAGATTAATGTTCATGACAGTGTCCTGTGAGAGTTACCAGATTGAGGTTCATGACTGTCCTGTGAGAGTTACTAGATGCAATGATCCCGGGACCCGTCGTAGGCGGCAGTATTTTCATTCGAGGTCAATTTTGGATCACCAGGTCATTCCTAAACGCGTAATTAGGAGTCGAGAATCAATTTTGGGTGCCAGAAATCATCCAAAGACGTTTATTTGAGTATAATTTGCACTGTCAAGACAAAGTTCAGGCTAATAAAATAAGATTGACGACGTTTTCCCATGAGAAAAAAGTGAATTATTTGTTGAAAAAAGCGGAGAAAAATTGATACGCAGAAATCGTGACGTTGACTCTACGCATGCAATGCAGCGTCATGGAAATTGTCTACAGTACACGTACACGCATATTTCGATGACGTGGTTATTTTGCCAGCCAGCCCAGGACGCTGTACAGACATTGTACGAAGGTAAGAGCCTTTGCCCTTTTCCACAAATTTTAATATATTCTTAACAATTGCTTTAGAGAAACTAATGACCAAAAATAAATATTGCATCGTATATAAATGATGACAGCGATTTACTAGGCCTATGGCCTGTGAACTCATATGATGTGTGTGCACGGTGCGACTAGTGACAATTACCTAACCTACCGGTCCTTCACGGCCACAGTTGTCGCGATGCATCTCAATAAAATAGCATCTAAAACCAATTAAGGCCGATATGTGTAAATACTTGTACATTAATAGTCTAGTCTATGCAACCAGC